TTTTTTTTTTTTTTTTTTTTTTTTTTTTTAATATAAGAATCAAATGGTTTTTTTATATGAAAGTTTAGACTAATAAAAAATTGAATCCTAAAAAAATAAAATTAGTAACTCCATGTCCAGTTAAAAAAAATTAGTCTTATTGATTCGGTCTGTCTCTTCAACTAAAAAATAATAATAGTTAAATCTACCCACACATTTATTTATACCACGAAAATTTGGAAGGAATTTAGGTCGTTAGATTTTGATAGGCAAATTATTTTTAATTATTTTAATCTAAAAATTATTAGAGATCTATTGTCTAAGTCCCTCTAGTCTACGTCCCTTTTTTTTTTCTTTTTCTTTTTCTTAATACAGAAAATAAGAAAATCTGCGGCGGCTGTTTTCTTCCCCTTTTCAATGTTAGTTGCAGCGCCCATAAACTGCGTTGGCTCTGTTTCTCTCGCGATTCTTCCCTCCAAATTCCCTCACTTCCCAGAACTTGGAACTCTTCTTACCATTTCTTACTAAATCTTTGTGCTTCTCCGATCTCTTTCATCAAGCTGCTGCTACTGTAGATGGATGTGAAACGGACTGAGAGCCCGATTTATGCTCGCCAATGGAGCAGCGAATCAGGCAGCACAGGTGGTCCCGCGTCGCCGGCGATGTCGCCGGCGCGCGGCCATCACACTCGATCCTCCTCCGTTTCTGGAATTTCCAACATTAAGCGCACACAGAACTTCGCTGCAAAAGCTGCGGCTCAGCGGCTAGCTCAGGTTATGGCTTCTCAGACCGCCGTTGACGACGAAGACGATCAGGACGATTTAGGATTTCGTTATAGTGCTCCTCCTCCTATTTCGTTGTCTAGGAATGTTAATAACGGTGGTAGACTTGCTGTTCCTACTGCGAAAACCACTAGATCTCCCTCCCCTGGGGTAAGTTAAATGCCTTATGCTCGAGTCTGATTGATTTATGTTGTAACTGAAGCGGACTACTTCTGTTTTCTGCTTCTTTGCACATTTTCTTCTGCTATCTGTTCCCGACTCAATTTTTCTTCAAGTAGGTCTGCTCGGTGTAAATGTTGGTTATTATCTGTTCTGAGTAACTTAATTTGGAATTCTTTAAAAAAAAAAAAAAAATATAGATTCACGGATCCTTCCTTTCACGAATTGAATGCCATTTTTCGTTAAATTAGCAGGTCTTCCTAATAAATGTTCCTCCGGTGCTTTACACTCCATTTGTTCTAGAAAGGCGATAGCCAGTTATCTTTTCCGGAATGAGAACACGGCTGAGCTGATTTCTGACGACTAATCGAATTTCTCTTTTGCGACTTCTAATTAGTTAGCCAGAAATTTTTTAGAAGACATTCCTTCAGTTCGTTCCACTTCAGCAGGAAGATCGTCAATATCTCACCTTTCACTGCCAGTGGCTCCACCCAAAACAACACTGAGGACGGCAACTTCAATGCCACCCCTAGATCCGCCTACTCAAAGAGGAAAAAGGTAAATCATTTTGACTACGACGTAGATTAGAAAATCAAATTGGTGGTTCGGACTGTATGAACACAATGCAAGTTACTTATCTGATTCTGACATCTATATTTTTTTCTGTTTTTTTATAGTTTTTCTCTTCGTTTGGAATTGAAACAAAGCCTAAACAAGTTTAATAATGAATTGGTGGTGGTTGGGATTTGAAATAAGTTTGTTCTTGCTACCTTTTGTTTTGGAGGTAAAATTGCCCACTGACCCCAACAAAAATGTAGAAAATAGATAAAAAGAAAAGAAATTGAACTTTAAGATTTCTTTAGTTTCCTCAATATCTAGGAAAAGAAATATTATTTCTTGCTGGGTGATGCTTGAAAATCTCCTTCATAGTTACCTGAGTTGTTGACTAATTTGATTATCCTGCTCAAGTCAATGATTTGTTATTCTGGTTAATGATTAAGTTAAGAGTACTGTTAGAAACTTAAAAATCTTGTTTGCCCCTTACATTGATAGCTGCTACATCTCTGTACATGTAGCCTATATTTTCCATTCGTTGCTTTTTCCTGGTATCTGCTGATGAGAGTGGGATAGTTCTGAGGATAACTACTATAGTGTAGAATATAAATATCATACATCTTATCAAAAAATTGGTGATTGATAAATGGAATACTGCAGATTCTCATCCGATACAGTGCGTTTTAATGCTAAAGATTCAGGAGATCAGCGAGAAGCATCTGGCCTTCGTGATGAAGTATGTCCATAGCATTATTGTTTCATATCTGAATGGTTTCATTGACTGTGTGACTGTAAACCAGCATGTCCATGACAATGTTCCTTTTCCAGTCTTCGAGTACTTAAAAGGTTTTCAATTCTCTGTGCTGTAGCTTGATATTCTACAAGAGGAGAACGAGAACATTCTTGTGAAGGTGCTTTGATTTTTCATTTCTTCTTTCTTTTTCACTGGTTTTGAGCATTTTATTAAATATCCTTTGTGCTTAAATTTTGTACTTGGGTATTGTTTACAGCTCAGGCTTGAGGAAGAGAGATGTAAAGAAGCAGAAACAAGAGTTAGGGAACTTGAGAAGCAGGTAATGGATACATCATTTCAATATAATGTTCATTACTTGTGCTTGTCTTTTTCTTTGCCATGGAAAATCTTTTCTCAGAAGCAATTTGGACGTGTAATGTGCTTCAGGTTTGTATAACAGCATCAGGTGTAGCCACCCACCCGAGAAGAAAGAAAATAAATAAGAAATTAAGCGTAGCCACCTAGAAAGGACAGGAAGTGAGAAAATTTTGATATTTTGTCATGTGGTGAGAAACTAAAAGGAGTAAACAGATCTGAGGACAAATAAAAAGCTTAGAGGAATGTTGGTTGTGTAAGAAAATAAGTAAGGAAAGCATTGTGTTAAAATGCGCACAGCTCTTCTAGAAATGCCTGGCCTGATAGGAGAAGTGATAATATGGTTTGTTTTAGGATGCTACTGGCCATGGAACCAATAAGAGAACACGTAAGATTAGTTAATAAACTGAAATGAAAGAACTAAATGAACAAAATAGAAAAGGAAAAAGAACAATGTACTACATTGATGTTCAACGAAGTGTGAGCTTGAGTGAGGTTCCTTCACCTGATAGGTTAAACGTCAAAGTCAGCTTGTGACCACTAGACAAGCGTAGGTCTTCGAAATGGAAGTCTTTGTATTCTGAATTATTTACTTTTGTCTTTACTGTTTGTTTTGGTGATCCAATTTTCGTCTGGAACTTTAGTTTCACTTTTGTACTAGGTGACAAAATACATGTGACTGATGTGTTTCTAAGTTATCAGGTTGCTTCTCTGGGAGAAGGTGTTTCTTTAGAAGCCAAACTTTTGAGCAGGTCAATGCAAGTTTAAGTTAATTTCATTGGATTGTTT